ATTTTATGAATGTATCACCAACAGCTACAACACAATTAGATCAGTGATACATTCCTCAGTCAAAACCCATAATGCTTAATGGGTTGAAAAATATTGGCAACACCTGTTTCATCAACAGTGTAATAGACGAGATGGTTACTGGAATATTTGAATAAGGATGAGTATATGAAAGATATCAAGGAATTGTGGTCAGAAAATTCATCTGATAGAGCATGAACACAGTCTCCTTAAAAAGTCAGATTAAGAGTTTTGCCCCTCGATTCACGGCCAGGAGTTCCTTCTTTATTTTTTAGAAGGTTTACATGATGACGTTAATAGAATTATTGAGAAACCTAAACCGACCTTAACGGAGATTAAAGAAAAATTGAGCGACAGCGGAAAAGCATAAGATTCATGGCTGACTTATTTGAGTACATATGACTCTAATATTGTAGATAATTTCGTTGGTCGAAATTCTTCGATCCTTTCTGGGATTTGTCACTCCCCTTACCACAAAGAACTGACCAATTGAGTTTATCACAGTGCTTGGATTTCTTCACAAGAGAGGAAACTTTGGATGGACATGAAGAACCGACGTGTTTGAGTTGCAAGGACAGAAGAAAACGCACATAGGCTCTATCGATCCATAAGTTTCCCCATATCTTAGTCATTCATTTCAAAAGAGTTTCTCTGACAGAAAGATTTAGAGCAAGTTAAATGTTACCATCAAATGTCCTCTAGATGGATTAGATATGAACAATTATGCAGCAGACAATGTGACTCCTTGTCGCTATAATCTATATGCACTTTCGAATCACAGGGGGTCTATCTACAGCATTCTGCAGACATCCTTATACTGGCACGTGGCACGAATACATTGATTCACACGTGTCACCAATTTCACCAAAATCGCTTGTGAGTGGAGATGCATACATCCTCTTTTATGAAAAAGAGGAAACGAGTTCGCACCTTTGAGCGATTTGAAAAGTTATTTTAAAACTGTTGATTTTAATGTTATAATTAATTATTGAAGTTATATTTTGAAAATAAATGAGGGAATATTCCATCAAGGATATGTGTATAGTTGCTAGCTTTGAAGCGGATCCTCTTACAGGCCAAGGAATCTGTTCTTGACACGTCGATTCAATAATTTCCTGAATAATTTTACCATTGTAACGTAATATTACTGCTATCGATAAACGTTATTGTGGCAATAATGTTACAAAATTGTTCATTTCCTATGAAGGTTTGATAATGACTTTCAATGACTTTCGCATCAAATCTGGATATTGGAAAGTGGTCCACACGTATCTGTAAGGTCCCGGTTTATTTAACTACATTTTTGATAATAGTCGTTTAATAATAATCGTAATTTTACTTGTTGTAACAAGAGTCAGTTTGAAATCAATGTCTCCGCAGTGATGTGTAAAAAGTGAATTAATATTTCAATTACAAAAATACTAAACTCAGTTGAAATTCTACAAAGGTTATTTTTTTCAGTTAGTCGCAATTGCCATAGTTATCGTCTCGTGTCAAGAGCACATCATTATCAGCATTATATCAAAATAATTACCAAGGCAGGCTTTCAAACAGATTTGGTATCAAGTGATAATTAATAGTCGAATTGAACGTGATGAGAATTTTGTTTCATGTTAATGACCAAATATTCCTCTCTCGATGAAACTCGCCAAAACAGCGAATTCAGCTTTGATCCTGGGATATTATATTGGCAAACGGGACAGTTTCAATGACTACTAGACAAAGTACATCAGAGGAATGTGTAACCCGAATTATTTCTGAAAAGGTCGGTGGTGCTTTCAGCAAAGAAATTATATTATGTTTAAAGACCAGTAAACTCTGTCTTTACTGGAAGTTGTTTAAAATTGGTTCAGTAGTTTTTGTAGTGCAAACTGTTAAATTATCGATATGTTTTAATTGAAAGGGGTATATTTGAGAGATTAGTTTTTGGGAAGGACAGGTTTTTGGCTCTCTTTTTAGACAAAAAAAAATTTGGGAACTTCAGAAGAAAATAAGTTCAAAAATGCTCCTGTTTCAGGAAGTCATTGATGTATACTTTGGAAGGTTTTTTTATTAGGCATATTACGATTAGGAAATCGTTCACTGTACAACCACCTAGTTCCAATGAGTTACCATCAGCAAGTCCATAAATGAAATGCATGTCAGGTATCTCTGCGTTACTATCGCCATTCATGATAGAGGACTTCACTAACAAGATTTTGAACATTAAACACAGAAAATTCACTTCAAATAGACAAAGTCAATCAGTTTAAACTTATTCGACATATACAAATGATCAATTACGAGACATACTATTCAAATTGAATGTTTGCAGCAGTTTGTAGTAATCGGAATTTTGTTGATAGATATCAACGGAACTGTTAGATTTTTTATTACTTGGTAGGTTCAGTATAAAACGCAATACGTTCATTTCGGCTACGTTAATAATTTTGAAATTACCAAAATTGTCATTGTAGAAATTCTTTTTCGCTCCGTATCTTCGAAACAAAAAACCTGTTACGTTATCCGTAAAATTTTAGGAAAACTCCTAAAAGGTAGGCAACCAGGAATATATTTCAATTATCTTTCATATCGCATACGAGAGCTGCTGCCATCATCGATGAAACGAGGAAAACTTTTGTTTGTAGTGATAGGAACTATCGGGTAGAAAAAAAGGGATTGGAGATTTTTTTTTAATTCAGAAAATGGCTCGAATGTCTTGAACACTGAATTCTGTCGATTTCATAGTTTACGCTTTAGGCGGTTTTAATTGATCAGTGTTTCTTTCGACAGTGATATTTGGTTGAATAATTCGTCGGATTAGATTATCAACTGTCGATTTGTCTCTACGGAGGACTTTAGATATCAGTCTTTTTTTTGGTGGAAAAGGAAGTCAACGTCTCGCGATTATTAGGGAATCGGTAATCGGAGGTGAGTTCTTATAATTTCACTAAGTTGAATAGGTTTCCTATATTTCATACAGCTCAAATTTCTATAATAAAATCACTACAATCATGAATATGATTTTCTAGGCGTTTAACCCCATATATTGAAATCATCTCGAGGAAATAAAAGATACTCGGAAGAGAATATATANGGTCAGTTGTCTTTCAGGTCAGATGGTAAGAGTACGGCTCTGCCGAACTCTAAAAACCTGATTCGGTCTCCAGCGAAGCAGGCACAAAGGATATGCTGTTTCATCGTTAATGAGGTAGTCGGATAGTCAAGGTGCAAGATTCCCACCTTGATACCCACGACAACCTTCCCATATGAGGGTTTTTGCACGTCAGCTATACCCGACAATGCCTTATATTCAATCGTGCAGCGCTTTTTCGCCTCTGGTTTTGGTAAATCATCACTTGAGCGCAAACGTTTGCTAACCTGCTCATGGGGGGGGGGAGGAGGTTTGTTTCCCCACCTGAGACAGATTCTGCCTAGGCCGCTCAATAATTTGATGCAAGACGGTTGGAATTGGAGAGTTGAGAAGCTCTCGCTCCTGATCTAAATTTACAGGGAGGTCAGTTGTAGTCGTAAGCTCGACATCCATCTCCTCTGTAGACTCAGCGTCAGAAAGAATTTTTAAGTTCAATCTGTCCATAAAAGTCCCACGAGTAACTAGGGAAAGAAGGTTAAACACGACAGAGATGCTACGATGAGAGGGCGCCCGGTATCTCGAAGGTTCCGTAAAGACAGTTGATAGGCTCAGTGTCATTCATCCTCTCGGTACGGATACACACACCTTAGGATTAAGCCATCCTTGGGATGCCATTCAGTTAGGGAATAACAGAACTACAAGTGGTTCTGTCATTCCCGTATCCAGCGGGGCCACGTGGAAGCAGGCATCCGATGGCCGGTTTGCTCAACCCCCATATCCCAAGCCAATGTACTCGCCAAAAACAGCATGCACAGTGGTTCAGGCAGTGAAAGATGAACAAAGACAGCCAACCCGCCAAAAAACTGGCGGGAAAGATTCAGGGGGTGTTTGGTTATAACAGAAACTCAGCTATCCCAAGAACAAGTATAGTTATCCAAGTAGAATCGAGTACACTGTCGTTGAGCAACTTTCATATCAGTGATTCAACCGCGGTAAATTAAAACATACAATGGGGATACCAAAGAGCTAGTGAAGAACTGTCAAGGGGAAAGATGACAGTCACAGCTCATTGCCATCGAGGCACAGTCAATTATGAGGGAATACTGAGACCAATGGAAGAGATAAGAAACGAATTATCGTTTATTATAGAAAATGGCAATCAACCTACGTTAACCTAGAAAAAGATAAATTTAACATTATGTATCGAGAATGAGGTAGAGTAAATTATCAAAAAACCAATTTCTGAAACCTGGAAATACATAGGCGTGCATAATTTACAAATGCTACATTTAATTCAATATGAATAAATTTTGAAAGCATATATTCAAGTAAGGTATTCGAAAATATAGAATTATAGATTTCTACTGTAAAATTATATTGAATCTAAAACATAAAAATAAAAACAACAATAAAAATTAATTGGCGCTCCGGGGCGACTACATTGATTCCAGTGGCGCATTTGCTTTTTCACCTGCAGCACCACATCATCTGAAGATCTTGATCTGCCAATGTCCTCTCTCTCATAAAACAAAATGTAGGCTTCAGGCCTACAGAGGCTTCAATAGATTCAATACATCGCCAGAACACTTCGTGATACATCCATCGTCAAACTTGAACCAGTCCGTTTCGTCTTTGACCAATGCCAGAACCACAGTGGACAATGACTGCATGAATATTTTAACAGTGGTCTGCTAGATTGAAATGTTCATCTATATCGAACCTTCGAAAGACTTTTTTGCTTCCGTCAGATGTTGAGTCTTATTTGAAGTTAGTAAACATTTAGTAACAGTTAGTAAACATTCAAATAATCTGGAGTGGCAACTTCCATTGCATTTAGGTATTCAATCATTTGTTCGAAATATTTTTCAAACACGCCATTCATCTATTCGTGATACTCACATATTTTTTNTTTCTGATTACAATGGACCTGATCACCACGTCGCTTCAATGTGGCAATATTACAATAAATACGGTAGAAGGTTCGATACAGGTGCAGCTTTTGTGAAACCTGTTGTGAACAGAAAAAATCTCAAAGTACTCACAGAGAGTTTCGTAATCAAAGTAGAGATAGATAAAAGTACCAAAACGGCTAAAGGTGTCACATTCACCAGACACGGCAAGATTCACTTCGTAGAAGCGAAAAAGGAAGTTATACTTTCTGCCGGAGTTTTTGCCAGTCCTCATCTTCTCATGCTCTCAGGTGTCGGTCCGAAAGAACATTTAAAAGAGAAGGGTATAGATGTCATAGAAGATTTGGTAGGAGTTGGCAGAGGAGTTACTGACGATGTCATAAATCAGTCCTGTCTTTTTTCATATTTGTCTAAGCTGTATATTCCTACGCAAACGTTTGAAGATAAAATTGCAGATTATTTACATGGTGTTGGAACACTAACTACAGGAGCCCCTTCCCATGGAGTAGCTTGGTATAAATCGGAGGTAAATAAAAACTCTGACCTTGCAGACCTTATGCTGTACTGCCTACCAAATTCTCGTTCGTCGCTGGAACCGAAGATCACCAACTGGGAGAGTGAAACCTACTATAGAACTTGGGGAGATGAGTCAAACGCTTTGCAAATGACCATTATGCTGGTCAATCCCAAATCCAGAGGTACCATCAAACTTCAGAGCAACAGTCCGTATGATTATCCTCTGATAGATTTGAAACTCCTTTCCGATCCTCAGAATGAAGATATTGCTGTGATGTACGATGGCATTAAGCGGGCATTTAGTTTGATGGAAACTTCCTCTTTCAAAAGATTTGGAGTGAAATATATAGGCAGTCCCTTACCTCAGTGTCGCAATTACACGTTCATGTCGAAAGATTACTGGTACTGCTTTTTGAGATACACTAGTTCTTCGGGATACCACACCTCTGGTAGTTGTCGCATGGGTGCTAATCGTACAAATGGGGTGGTGAATAATAATTTAGAAGTTTTTGGAATCAGAAAATTGAGGGTTGCTGATGCTAGCGTATTTCCTCTTACGGTAGCTGGACCTCCCAGTGTTACGTGTATAATGATCGGAGAAAAAATATCCGAGGTCATCAAAACTCGGTATAATTGATAGTTAATGTTTTGATAAATATTCTTTTGAAATGTGAACTGCCCTAATCTAAATATAAACTGATAATGAAAATGTATGTTATACTTGTTTTTTTTTGGCAAATGAAGGATTTGCCGTAATTTTTATAATTTCATGAGTTTGTTCATGAAATATCCATTGTGTTATGTTTTTTTTTGGAACACGAGCTAGTGTCGTTTGTAGACTATACAGTTTTGAACGGAAACTGATTGGGGGAGCATTCAGAAATAGAAGCCATAACAGGGAACAGAGTATGCTTCTTGATTACTTACCAGTTCGAGTGGTGAGTACATCCTATCAAATTGTCCAATATTTATATACCCATAGCTTTCTAATTTTAGTAGGAGAGTGGGATAATACACGCTTCCGAAAGCTTTCGATAAATATGATTTTTTTCCAGAATTTAAACCTTTAACTATTTCTTCTAAGAACTGAAATACGACCCTTTCAAAAGATTTGTTCCGCAGAAAATGTTTTGGTAACTACTCAAATTATCATTTGTCAACGAAATTAATTCTAGAGTAGACACGTCCCACCAGATTGGAAAACATTCTCAGGAATGTCTAGAAATATTTCAGTTTTGATGCACAAGTTGATTATTTAAAAAAGATATCCAGCCAAGACTTGAGTGGGTACATCATCAATTTCATTGAAATATGATTGGTCCTGCGCAATACAATAATAATAATTAACACAGACATTAGTTACCTTCAGAGTTGTCCATCCAATGTTTGAAAAATTATTCTGGAGAACGAACAGATTGCAGCTTTTTTGGTGCCGTGTTNTCTCAGCGAATATTGTTTAAATGTTTTCTGTCATTTGTATTAGTTATGTAAGTTTTGCGTAATGTCTTTAGGGGACTGGACGAAGACCTAGGTTATAATACAGATCTCATCCACTCCTCTTCTTCCCTCTCATGAGAGTTTTCTGAGTGCACGAAACCCCCCCAACTATTTTAAGTCTTGTTTTATTCATTATATATTAATAGATAAGCCAGTATATAATATATTTCTATTAAATCAATACCGTAGTCTTTCTAATTGTTACCTGCCAAAGTTCATTATCAATTGGTTACATTTTAGAGTAGATCTTATAGATTCAATTTCTCTAATTTCTTTATTTTGAATCAGGGTTAAATATTTGAATCTATTGGCGCCCGTTAAAGTGACACCTAGTATTTCAGGAACTCACCCCTCTCTCCCTGTTCAGGCTAGCTGTGAGCATAACCCTTCACTTCACCTTGTTTACGTAATCATTTGGTATAGTTGTTTTTTTGTACAGTTCAAAGCTGATAAATTACGTAACAAGCCCAATCAAAAATTATCAAAGGACAAAATAACTTTAGAATCGTCCAAGGAATAGCTCCTTAATTTTTTTCCGCATATTTAATAAACAAACAATAAATTTTTTTGAATAAAATTGAGAAATCCCAAAAAAGTTCATTCAAATTAATACAGGATGGGCATCAATATGAACATAACAAAATATTCACAAAATAATAAATAAGGAACGAACGCTATATAATAAATAACACAATAAAAAATGTGGTTTCCGATCTCCAGTAGGTATAGGGAATTGAATTTCAATTGGTTCTCTTCCCCAACTGATGAAGATGTTATATTTCAGAATATGGTTCCTTCGACTTTGTGATTGTAGGAGGAGGAACGACAGGGTCAGTTATAGCCAGGAGATTATCAGAAAGAAACAATTTCACAATACTAGTATTGGAAGCTGGTAGATGGCCGGATTATAGTTTACTCCAGTTTCTCAGTTATCTTTATCCATCTACTCTCTCGGAGTATAATTGGGGCTTCATGAGCGTACCGCAAACTGGAGCCTGCCAAGGTGAGTTTATTTTGAAACGGAAGAGATATGCTACTAGTATTTATGTTTGGTGTTCCCATTATCGGCAACTATGGTCATTTCCAGCGTGCTCTAGGTAATATTAGTTTGTTTCAAAAGTTCTGTTCATTTTAATATCATGTGTTTCTTTTCTTTTCCAGCTCATTACGATATGATGTCGTTGAGCGATTTTTGAACACTTTTTCTCTACGAAGTTAAATTGAACCAATGTGATGCCGAAACATCCAGAAAAATTAACCAGTCATTTGGAAATCATAGTTTGCGAAATTTCGTTCCGGTAATTTCAGCTTCAAAGATGAGTCTCGAACTTGTAGACCAGAAGTGATTCAGGACGAGGATTGGAGTACCCTGACTCACCACAAATGGTGCGTGGGATGGCAGAAGTACTGGGCGTCAGCTCCCATGCGGTTTTTGATGGTTTGAAACATATTGGAAAGGTCGGAATGCTCGAAAAATGGGTGCCCCACGATTCGAACGGTCTACAGAAATTGTCAGGTTTCGAGGTCTGTTCTTCTTTGTTTTTGCGGGACTAAAAATATCGTTTTTTGGATCGGATTGTCACGTATGATGAAATGTGGATCCTCTACGACAGCTCGATACGTTCAGAACTTGTGTGATATACTGAAACTTTCTATAACTTCCTGCCAAACCATTACAACAGTCATATTGTGAGGAAATCGACGGAATTGACCAAACATTGCGTCAGCAGCAGCCGGCACTTGTCAACAGTAGAGGTCCAATTTCGCTCACGACAACGCCCGTCCGCACGTTTCACAAATCACCATTGGAGAATTATAAACATTTATCGTCGAATTTCTGCCTCATTCCCTATACTCCCCAGGCCTCTCGCCAACCGACTATCATCTTTTCAAATACTTCTATAACTCTCTCACTGGTAAAACCTTAGCCAATCAGGACCAAGCAAAAACGGTCTTCGTTGACTTCATCGAATCCAGAGCTCACAATTTTGTGCTGATGACTCGTGTTACGTTGGAAAAAGTGCACTGATTTTAATGGCGCTTATTTCGATTGAATTAAATACGTGAATCACCGAGACATTGCAGTTCAAAAGGGGCACATGAAAACGGACAAAACTTTTAAAACAATTTAATATAAGTTAATAACTTTCCGAGCCACCTAGAATCCATGATGGCTATTCACAGCTTTGTCAGTCTCAAATCAATTCACCTCCAACTGAATAAATTCTCGCGAACAAAGTATCTGGTCGAAGGCGCATCGATCTCGAGACCTTTCGGTGAAGAGCTTAGCACTGTATCATTAAGCCAACATATCATCGATAGAAGTCTATCTGTTTAACCCCTCATTATTTACTCGTTCTAGTGGTTACTCTCAATAAATTCTCTCAAAAATTTTCGTATAAAAAAATTGAGACATTTGCAATTGTTTAACATGCTTAAAATTGTTTTACTCGATCTGATAATTAGACCAAATCATTTTGATAGCATGGAAAGGGTAACACTGGTGCGGAAGAATCAGGGGGTATTTGGTTATAACAGAAACTCAGCTATTACAAGAACAAGTATAGTTATCCAAATAGAATCGAGTACTCTGTCGTTGAGCAACCTTTGTATCAGTGATTAAAAACATACAATGGGGATATCAAAGAGCTAGTGAAGCTAGTGGACAGATGACATTCACAGCTCATTGCCATCGAGGCACAGCCCGTTATGAGAGTATACTGAGACCAATGGAAGAGATGAGAAACGAATTATAGTTTATTATAGAAAATGACATTTAGGTTAGGTTAGGTTAGGTCCAAAGTGAGTGGGTCTATTCGACCTTCCACCGCAACACGTAAGGGTTTCTGTATCTGTATCTGTAGAGTAGGGAGGGTGAGTGTAAGCATAGGTATCCCCCCTTTGACGTACACCTTTTCAAAATAAATCCCCATTTTCAATTCTGTAAAGTCACACTCAGTTTTCATATCACATAATTAATTAATATGCGTATTGTTTAATGGTATTTTTTGAGTATTTTTCAGTATTTCTTTCAAAAATTAGATGAATACAGATTCATTTAAACATCAAATGTCGTGACGTCATTATAGCTTTCTACAAACGCGCGTTTTAAAGAAGCATATCTTGATTTTGGTTAAAGTTGTCAACTTGAAATTTTTTATATTTTATTGGAGCTAAGTACCATGAAAATATATGAAAACTACAAATTAAGATTGTCTGAACGACCCATGTACTATAAGCATGTTTTTGTTCTTTATATAAGCTCATATATTCAAATATATTGAAAAACATCTGAGCTTCGTAGATAAGCGAAAATATAAAACAAATGTCGTTGTTTTTGATAAGGATTATTTGCCAGTGAGTGACTCAGAAAATTGAATCATTTTGCAAAGTACAGTACCTTGTGCTTAAGTGGAATGCTCGTAATGCACTTCGCAGAAATAACCATATTCTTCATTCTGTTTGTAGTTTTTGGGAATAGCAATGGCGATTCATGTCCAGAGACACCAGGTGGGCAAATTAATTTTTAATATGGTTTGTATCATTATTAATTTTTTAAGACTGTTGGAACTTTCAATTTTGATTTTTCACATTTTGTATTCCGAGAAAAATCATACTTATATTTGGTGTATGTTATATATTTGGACTCAATGGACCAAATGAAATTGAATCTTGTAAATCAGAAATCAGTAAAGCAAAAATATATATATTGTTAAATGTCATTAGAGAATGTAGCCATTTGATAAATTTCATTGGGCTGAGTAAATGATTAATTGAGAACAAAAATTGACCTAAACGTTTCAAACTCACTTATATTTAATGTAAACTTATATTTAATGTAATGCACAAGCACTGCATGAATATCCTCAAACTGCTCTAAAAGCGGTACCTTTGCGAAAGTGATAACACGTTGGAATTTATTCGATCTCGGAAACTTCTTTTCACCTCATGAAAGAGTTTTTGAAAAACTATTCTTCGAAGTGTATGTATTGGCGGCTATAGTTTTCCGCTCATTGAAAAATCAAGCGAAGTAAGTAACTTGAGCATCTACCATATCGAAGTTAGTTGGGATGTTTTGCTTATAGCACTCAATAAATTGTCAAACCATAGACACGTGTTTCTGGCTTTTGGCCCATTGTCAGTATGGTGCAGCCAAGTGTAAGGATGGGCACTACTTGGTTACCAAAAGAAAGAAATACAAATGCTCGGAGCCATC